AAATACCAGTTTTTGTGCAAATTTCAAGTCTCAAATAAAAATGTTTCATTTATAAGGCTAGTGAAATATTTTTTTTTAATTTCAATTTTAACGTAATTTCTGTTTATAATTTTGGTTATATTAACATGTTTGTAAATAATAATAAATATATGCATATAATTGTGTTTATAATACATTTACAATTTAGTAAACTAAATATATAATTTTTCGATTAAATTTTAATAAAACTGTAAAATTGAAATATAAAGTTAAAACTAGAAAAAAACATTTATCGCATATACATACATAATTATTATCATGTAGTAAATACCAATATCTTTTCATAGGTATTACATATATATGTATGTATATAGTATATATAATATCTTCACCTTTTTATATTACATACGATATGTATAAATGAATATGTAATGCATGTTTATAAGTAAATAAAAGTATATGTTTATAAAAAAAAACTGCATTATAATATTGTATTACCCTGTAACCCTGTAAAATTAGCATAATTTGAAGCGCAAAAAGAAAAAGCGATTTGAAAACAATAATTTAAACATTCGTAACAGGCTTGGCCTGCACAAAGCTCTACTCCACTTAGTACAACAAATTGTAGTAACATATAACAATTTAAAACTAACATTTTCGTAGCTTACTCAACTAGGGACATACCGAAAAGTATGTTGATATTTTACAATTTCGAATATTGTGCTTAGTAACTAAATGTTTTTAATTTGTTTATTTGTTGCTTCACATACTTAAAAATTTCAATATAAATAGACTCACAGAAATAAATGGAAAATATTTCAGAAAAAATTTAATAAAATAAAATAATAATACGGCTTAAGAATACAAAGAAAAAAATGTGGCGAAAAATAATAAGAGACGAAATACTTTGCGTTTTAAGCGCGCTATGAGCTGTCTCTTATACACATCTTTGGTTTGTAGTCCTTTGAGTCTGAGCTCATTTAAAAAAATGTATAGAAAAAAATTATAAAAAATAGTTTATAAAAAAGTTTTTTTCAATTGTATTTATTGCAAAAAGTTCCATTTATTGTAATGCATTTGTAAAATATGTATGTATGTATATAAATTCATTGTCTCTTTCATGCGCATCAAAAAAATCTACATCAATTCGTTTACCGTTAAAACACATTCGACATAGTTTTCGCATTTGTAAATTACAACAACTATATAAATATATATATATATTACAAATACGCAAATACTTATGTATTGATATAATATGTACATGTAAGCTAGTTGCCTAAGTTTTTTTTTTTTGTTATTGTATTTAATACATTTTAAAGTGCATTTCATAATTAGTACAGTAATATTTTAGCATATTTCAATACAGTATATATATTTTATTGTGGTATACTTTTTATAAAAATATGTTTATGTATGTTATATCTTTTTTACGCATGTAAAAGATATAATAAAATTGTCTTAGCTATGCGCTTAGAATAATTGTTCTTAGTAATTTTTGTTTTAACTTTTTAAGGCCACATGTTTCGCAAAGTTTTTTATTGTTTCAATAAAAATTATTACTTCGTATTTTTTATTTAATATTTCTTAAGCTTATAGTAAGCAAGTTTAGCATGTCAAAACATTTACTTAAAACTAAAACTTCTTGAGTAGTTCAATAGATTTTTTTTAAATTATTTTATTAGATAATTAACAAGAAATTTTAATATCAATAAAAAGTTTTGAAAAAAGTGTTTAAAAATTATAAAAGAACTAAATTTTTTTAAACTACATTCTTGTAT